TGAGCAGCTTCAATTCCTGCTTCTTCACCCCAGTGGTGCGAGCACACAAACATCATGGAATCTAACTGCGCCTCCATGTAAGAGGGGTATCACCTACCCCTTGGATGGCGGCAAGGATTGGTGACTAGTCAGTGATGAGCTGATCCAGGTAAAAGGCTTAGCACGGTGCCGGGCACAAAGCTGGGACTGGATGACATGGTGGATGACATGGCCACGGCTGTCCCCAGTGAGGAGCCCAGCTGCTTGGCTCTGGTCCATTGGGAAGACCTTCTGGATCACGGAGTTTCCAAATCAAAACGGAGGACCCCTGGTCTGGCAAGCAGGATGGTGCTTATGTGGACAGAGGACAGGGTATGTAAGCTGGGGGAGGACCTTGAACATCCTGATGTGGGGTCTCCTATCCCCCGCTGATGGTCCTTCACCATCCAACCTGGGCTCTGAGTCCAGAAATCACAGGCCTGCTGGGTCACACTGAGCCTCCAGCTGTTGCAGAGTTTCCTGAACCGAGTCACTTCCCCCAGAAACTCCAGGAAGAGACGCACAGAGGAGGAGGAGGAGGAGGAGGCAAACAATCAGGCAACCAGGAGGAAGGCACCTGTGTGGCTTGTTGCCAGGATGCCACAGCCCGGGTATAAAGGCTGCCTGGGGAAGGAACCTCCAGACCAGCCCTGTCCTCCACCCTGACTCCACTCCAGCCCCACACCGCCATGTACTTCACCAGCTGCTCCACGGGCTGCCAGCCGGCCAGCTGCACCCCCAGCTCCTGCCAGACATCCTGCTGCGTGCCCGTGAGCTGCCAGACGTCCTGCTGTACCCCCAGCTCCTGCCAGACGTCCTGCTACGTGCCCAGTCCCTGCCAGGTGACCTGCTGTGTGCCCAGCTCCTGCCAGACGTCCTGCTGCGTGCCCATGAGCTACAAGCCTGCTGTGTGCCTGCCCGTGAGCTGCAAGCCAGTTGTGTGCCTTCCCGTGAGCTACAAGCCCATTGTGTATGTGGCCCCCTCCTGCCAGTCCTCTGGGGGCTGGCAGCCCTCCTGCCCCACCCTGGTCTGCAGGCCTGTCCCCTGCGGCACCCCTAATTGCAGCTGAGCCCATGGCCTCCTAGGACCCCTCCTCTGTGCGGTCAGAAGTGGCTGCTCTCCGAACTCCTACCAGGCGGCCCAGACATCATCCACTTCAGACCTTCTGGACCCGGCTGACCATCTTACAGCTAACCAGGCGGAGAGTCGCCCCCAGTGTCCCTGGCCCTGGCCTGGACCATTCACCCAGCACCCACCTGGCTGGTGCGGAGTGCCCAGGCTCGCAGCCACCAACACAAAGGTCTAATAAATCCCAGAATGCATTCGAAGTCCACCCGAGTGTGTGCGGTGTCCCTTAGCGCCTTTCCCTAAACTGCTTCCTCCAGGGGGAGCTCCCAAAATCCAGGAAAGCTCCCTCTGCGGAGAAGCCACAGGTTACCAGATGGCCGTGCACAGGGCACTGAGCACTCAAAGGTGGCCTCTTGGGCGAGTGGGCGCTCCTAGCTCAGCCTGACGGGCCCCCAGGGCTTCCTTTGTCCCACTTTGTCCCTTGAACCAGTGAGGTTATTTCTTACTCTGCTGGGTGGGACTGAGGGCGAATCCCTAACTTTCTGATCTGACCCCTTTTAGGTAAAAAGGTCTCCTGCTCAGCAATTAATATGCGGAGCCAACCTGGTCTAAAAATTAAAAGTGTACGCTCCCTAGAAGAGTATACCTCCTCCTCCTCCCATTCGGGGGGACAGGGCTTTGTGGGTAACTTCGTGGCCCTGGAGATGTCCACGTCCTCATCCCCACAACTGGTGGATACAGCCCTACAGGCGAGGCGGCGTCCCAGACGGGGTGGACTGAGGGTCTTGCAATGGGAGCCGTCCTGGATTGGCCGGGTGGGCTCGCGTCATCCCAGGGCTTGGGGAGGAGGGAGAGGAAGGGCTGCCGCGGAAGACGAGGCCGTGGGAAGCGGGGCACCGTGCTGTGGGCTTGGAGCACCGTCCCCTCCGACTGGCTCTCTCCCGGGCAACGGTAGCCGCTGACCGTGTAGACGCCCCGTCTATGAGCAGTCCAACTGACCTTGTAGATGCCCCACGGGGCAGGTGGTCCGCTAGCGGCTGGGCGGGACAGCGAGCAGGTTGCGCGGGCGCTGGGGGAGGACCCGGCCCGGCCACACCTTGGTTTTAGCCCCTGAGGCCGCTCCAGACTCTGGCCTCCGGGCCGGCAGAGTCTGCTGGAGCTGCCGCAGCCACCGGGGGTGCCGTCTGTGTCCGGGCCACGGCACGGACCCAGCCTCGGTCGCACAGCCCCGGACGGCCGCCCTCCTGGGTGCTCCCGCGGGGAGCCTGCACTGTTCCGGGCCGGGAAACTGGCCCGGAAACCAGACCTGCCCGACAGCGTGGGCTTAGCCCCTGTGGTGTGACCACGGGCCACCCAAGAGCAAGGGCGCTGGGGCCGCCCCGGAGACGGGCGGGAGGCACGCAGAGAGGGACGGTCATCAGCACAAGGGAGCCGAGGCCCACCAGGGCGCGGGGGGAGCTGCGTGAGAACCAGGAGTCTAAGAGGAGCGCCATCAAGGGGGTCCTTCCTGCGGCAGGACCACGTATCCACGCATCTGGAAACATCCATGATCGTGAGGTCGGGGTTATAAGGATGGGGATTCAGCAGGGACTCCCAGAGCACCTCCCGTGCGCGGCTCCTCCCCACCCTTGGTCCCACGCACAGGCCACCGCCGGCCGCCGGTCTCACCACCAGGGGTGTCCAGCGCCTGCGCGTCACGCCCTGGCCTTGCAGACACCCTCCCTCCAGGCGCCCCCGCGGCCACGGCTCCAACCACCGGACAGCGGGGGGCCTGCCCCGTCTCCCCAGTGATGCCTCTGAGGGCGGGGACCATCCCAGCCTCAGGCACGTTGGGTGACGGGGCGTGCGGGTCTGGGGATCCCACAGAAGGGCTCACCAACATCGACAATTTAGCCTTGTCGCCAAACTATGAGCCCGCGTTAAAGAAGCTTCCCAAGTAAAGACCCTGTCACCTCTGACTTCACCATCTGCACCGCTGGGCAATGGTGGCCGGCTGACTGCGTAGACGCCTTGTCTGTGAGCAGCCTGGCTGACTGTGTAGATACCTGACTGTGAGCAGTCCGGCTGACTGTGTAGACACCCTGTCTGTGAGCAGCTGGCTGACTGCGTAGACACCCGACTGTGAGCAGTCTGGTTGACTGCGTAGACGCCCCAGCCTGGAGCAGTCCAGCTGACTGTGTAGACACCCGACTGTGAGCAGCCTGGCTGACTGTGTAGACACCCGACTGTGAGCAGTGTGCCTGATCGTATAGACACCCCATCTCTGAGCACTCCCGCTGACCATGTAGATGGCCCATCTGTGAGAAATCTGGCTGACTGTGTAGATGCCCCGTCTGTGAGCAGTCTAGCTGACCGTTAGCCACGCTGACCAGAAGCAGCCTGGCCACAGGATGACCGGCCGTGTCTTCTGCAGCTGTGAACGACTTTCCCGCAGGAGCCGTGAGAAGGTCCTGGATGTTCTCGTGCCACGGGGCCAGAGCAGGGGTGCATCCTGCAGTCCTTCCCATGCACTATTTGCCAAACTGTGGTTTGCTGGTTTCCACGTGAGTCAACATCCCTGCACTTCACTCTTTTGGGTTACGGATGAGGTGGAACCTTCCTCCAGGTCTTTAACTCTGTGCCGTGAAGAATCCACTGAGGTCTCAGTATCTATGCAGATGGCCGTGTTTTTTTTAAATTTGAAAGAACAAGTAATGGGCACAGATTTTGGATAAATTCAGGCCAACTGAGGGATTTAAGAGTCAAGGCGGGTTTACTACCCAGCCCCTTTCTCTCTAAAGGCCCCCTTAGGGTTTTTACTCGGTCTCCTCTTCCCTGAGTAGAGCTAACTCGGGGTAGGGGTGAAGCCAGCCTCTGTGAGGAGATACCTTCTATTCCTCCCTCCACCTGCCAGACCTCTGCTATTCTGCTCCTGTGGGCCTCTTCCGTCTGTTCCTGGCACAAGGGATCAGTAGGGAGCCTGATGCTGACCTGGCTGGTCTGACTGGTGGCCACTTGACCCTCTAGTGCTAGAGGTCCACTGAGACTGCAGGCTCATCCTCTTCCACAGTCCTGAGGATTTGTCAACAAGGCATCTTTTTGCTCCCTGTCTCCTCAATCAGGCCTTGAGATCTTGAGTAGAATGAATGATGTCTGAACTGACCCCTGCACCCCTCTTGGGTCCTATAGGGATTTGCTGGTGCTTCAGATCATCAGCCCTTGTGCCCAGCCCAGCATGCAGGCATTCCTCTGTGTGGACACCTCTCTCCAAGGGAGTCAGCACGGTGCTAGGTACTGGACCCTCCAGTTCCCACCAGTTAGGGTTGTGCTGCTCCCCAGCTCACCTTTAACCTGCACGGGCAGGGGCCCAGGTGTGGGCTGGAGCTCTAAGCTTTGTGCAACCACTCTCACTCCCCGGGCCCAGGCTTGGAGGGCTCTTCACTGTGGGGAGGGTGGGGCTGCGGGGCTGGAAAGGGACGTGGAGTGTGAGGATCCACATTCAGACATCTCTCAGGTGCTTTGAACTTGGAATTTGAGAATATGTCTTTATTGTTTGCTTCCACCAGGCAGAGCTCCAGTCTGCAGTGGTCTCTGGGCTCCGAGGAGGAGAAAACAAACCCCGGTCTCTAGGTCATGACACAAACATTTTATTGATTATAGCAATTGTCCTTTGTCATGTGGAACACAAGCAACCGATCCTACAGAAGAGGGTTCTTGGGGTGCCGCAGTCCACCTCTGTTGAGGGACTTGTGGGCCATCTCTTGGCAGAAAGGGGTGGCAGCATGTTCGAATCCCCAGTAGGCAGCAGCTGTGTGTCCACCAAGGGGCCGAGGGGTGGTCCTGGTGCCCACAGAGGGGTGTCAGGGCTCCTGAGAGAGGACATTTGTGCCCAGGAACAAAGGTGGCAGCACCAGACGCAGAGGTTCAAGCTGGTTCAGCAGCAGGACTTCTGGGCCGAGGTGGGCACGCAGCAGGCCTGGTGGGGGCCCACGGGCCGGCAGAGCAGGGACACACAGGAGGAGGGTCTGCAGCAGGACGAGGAGCAGGGGCTGGGCTGGCAGCAGGAGGGGGCTGAGCAGGGGGAGGCCTCGCAGCAGACAGGGGTGCAGCAGACGGGCTTGCAGCAGACAGGGGTGCAGCAGAGAGGCTTGTAGCAGGCAGGGGTGCAGCAGACGGGCTTGCAGCAGACAGGGGTGCAGCAGAGAGGCTTGTAGCAGGCAGGGGTGCAGCAGACGGGTTTGCAGCAGGCAGGGGTGCAGCAGACGGGCTTGCAGCAGGCAGGGGTGCAGCAGATGGGCTTGCAGCAGACAGGGGTGCAGCAGACGGGCTTGCAGCAGACAGGGGTGCAGCAGAGCGGCTTGCAGCAGGCAGGGGTGCAGCAGACGGGCTTGCAGCAGACGGACGCGCCGCAGGCCTCCTGGCAGGGGGAGGAGCTGCAGCAGGAGGGCCGGCAGGAGCTGGTGCAGGCTGATTGGCAGGGGCTGGACCCGCAGCTCACGGGGGTGCAGATGAGGGTCAGGCAGGAGGCCGGGGTGCAGCCGCTGGACTGGCAACAGCTGGGGGTGCAGCAGGGTGGGGCACAAAAAGGGGGCTCGCAGCAGCTCTCTGGGCAGTCGTCCACCTGCCAGGAGGAGTCGGGGCAGGAGTCCCAGGAGCCGGGCAGGCAGACGCGGCTGCCGTAGCTCAGATCGTTGGAGCAGACGGACAGGGTGGACGCGGCCATGGCGGGGGCGGTGGGGCTGGAGGAGGGTGTGCGTGTGAGTGTGAGAGTGTGTGTGTGAGTGTGAGTGTATGAGGTGCTGGAGCTGGTGGCTTTTATACCGCCCCGGATGTTTGTGTTGTCCCAGGCGAAGGCTCACCACGCCTCTGTTGTTTTGGGGTTTGGGGCTGTGAGGACCATCATTAGGGCCTGTTCTGTTGTCATGACATGATCTTGCTCAGCTTATAAAGCTTGGACTGTTCCGGGCAGGGCTGGTTGTCCCTGGTGTGAGCCTGGTTCCTCCGGGACACCTGTAGGGAAGGGGTAGGCTCCCTGTGGCTGCCTCTGTGGCCTCCACCTGGCAGGTCATGTGCTGGGGCTCTGGGTGATGGCCCTGGACTTATGGGACAGCTCCGTGTTGACCCAGCCTGGGTGTGCAGGACCTCACTTGGAGCAGCTGGCCTGGCCTGTGATTGGGAGAAAAGAGGACAGAGGTGCACATTTTAGGGCACAGGCAATGTGGGGCTGATCCTTCCTGGGCAGGCTTGTGAACCTCTGTGGTCCCAGTGTCAGCCAAAGCCAGTGACAAAGAGAAGGATTTCCATGGACAGGACTGGATGTCCTTTCTCCAAGAAGGAGCCAGAATGTCCCAGTGAGGTCTGCACTCTGTAGGTCACATGTAAGGAATCACACAATACATGGCCTCTTGTGTCTGACTCCGTTCACTGAGCATGAAGTTGTAGCGCCTGCCTGTGCGTCACTCCTGTTCCTGGCTGAGTAATGTTCCAGCCAATGGGTTCACCACATTTTATTTCTCTGTTCCTCAGTCAGTGGACATTTGGGTCGTTTCCACCTTTTGGCTGTCGTGAATAGTCCCGCTATGAACATTTTTGTACAAGTTTTTTTTGAACGCCTCTTTTCAGTTCTTCCAGGTGTATTCCTAACAGTGGCATTGCTGGGTCAGATGGTAACTCTATGTGTCACTTTTGAGGAGCTCCAGACTGCTCTCCAGCCACCGCACCACATTACACTTCCAACGGCAGGGTACGATGTTCCAGTTTCTCCACATGCCCCCCACCACTGCTTCTGTTCTCTTCTTTTTTAAAAAAAATTGTAGCCACCCTAGTGGGTATGAAGTGGCATTTCATTGTGGTTTTGATTTACATTTCCCTGATGACTAATGATACTGGGCTTCCTTTCAAGTGTTTGTTGGCCATTTGAATATTTTCTTTGGAGAAATGTCTATCAAAGCGCTTTGCCCATTTTTAATTGGGTTATCTGTAGTTTTGTTATTGAGTTATAGGAGTTCTTTATGTATTCTGGATACTAAACCTTTATCAGAATTATGCTTTGCAAATATTTTCTCTCACTCTGTGGGTTGCCTTTCAGTCTCTTGATAACATCCTTCAATGCACAAAACTTTAACTTTTGATGAAGTCCAACTTACCTGTTTTCTTTTGTTTGGTGTCATAACCAAGAAAATTGTTGCCAAATCTAAGGTCATGCAGATTTACCCGTATGTTTCCTTTCAAGAGTTTTATAGTGTTAGCACTTATATTTAGGTGTTTGATTGGTGTTTGAGTTAATTTTTGTATATGGTATGAGGTAGGGTTCAACTTTATTCTTTTGCACGTGGATGTCCAGCTGTCCCAGCACCATATGTTGAAGAGACTATACTTTCCCCACAAAATGATCTTGGTACCCTTGTTGAAAATCAATTGGCCAGATATGTATGGGTTTATTTCTACACTTTCAATTTTATTTATTTATTTGAGAGAGAGAGTGAGAGGGAGAGCACAAGAGGGGGTAGGGTCAGAGGGAGAAGCAGACTCCCTGCTGAGCAGGGAGCCCGATGTGGGACTCGATCCCAGGACTCCAGGCTCATGACTTGAGCTGAAGGCAGTCGCTTAACCAACTGAGCCACCCAGGCACCCTACACTTTCAATTTTATTCCATTGACCTATATGTCTGTCATTATGCCAGGACCACTGTTTTGATCACTGTAGTTTTGTAGTAAGTTCTATGTCTCCCTTCTAATTTGGATGTTTTTTATTTGTTTTTCTTGCCAAATTGCTCTGACTAGCACTTCTAGTGTTGAATAGAAGTGGTGAAAGCGAGCATCCTTGCCTGTTCCTAGCTTAGGGGAAGGCTTTCAGTCTTTCACCATGTGGGCTGATGTTCCCTGTGGGTTTTCATCTACCTCCTATTATGTTAAGGAATTTCTCTTCTCATAGTTTGTTGAGGGTTTTATTATGAGAGGGTGTTGGCTTTTGTCAGATGCTTATTATGCATCAGTTGAGATGAAACTGTCCCCCCCCCTTCATTCTATTAATGTGGTGCATTACTCTGATTGGTTTTCATATGTTGAATTACTCTTGTATTCTTGGGATAAACCCACTTGGTTATGGTGTATAATTCTCTTAACATGCTGCTGGATTTTGTTTGATTGTATTTTGTGGAAGGTTTAAAAATATTAATCTATAAAAAATTTTGGTCTGTAGTTTTTTGTTGTTGTTGTCTTTGTCTGACTTTGATATAAGGATAATGCAGACCTCATAGAATGATTTAGAAAGTGTTCTCTCATCTTGTTTTTTGGAAGAATTTGAGAAAGTTTAGTGTTAAGTGTTCTATAAATGTTTAGCAGAACTCAGCATGAAACCATCTGGTCCTGGGCTTTACTTTTGGGGGAGGTTTTGGATTACACTGTGATCTCATTACTTGTTTTATGTCTATTCAGTTTGCCTATTTCTTCTTGAGTCAGTTGGCTCACTTGAGATTAAAAGATACAAATAGATTGAAAGTGAAGGGATGGAAAAAGATATTTCATGCAAATAATAACCAAAAGAGAGCTGGATGGCTATAAGAAAATCAGACAAAATGGACTTAGAGTAGGAGACAAAAAAGGACATTAAATATTGATAAAAGGGTCAACATATCAAGAAGATATGACAATTATAAACATATACGCACCTAATAACAGACTCCCAAAATACTTGAAGTAAAAATTACAGAATTGAAGAAATAGTTTCTATTCTACAATAATAATTGGAGACTTCAATAAGTAATTTCCTCTAATAAAAAATGACATAATAGAACAACTAGATCAAAGACCAGTAATGAAACAGAAGCCTTGCAAAACACTATAAACCAACTAAACCCAACATGTATACAAAGTACTCAACTCAACAACAGCAGAATGCATGTTCTTCTCAAGTGCCCATGGAATATTTTCCAGATTAGACCATATGTTAGGCCATAAAACAAATCTCAGTAAATTTTAAAATATTGAAATTATACAAAGTTCTCTGACCACAGTGGAAAGAAAACCAGTAACAGAAGGAAAATGGGAAAATTCACAAATAAATGGAAATTCAACAACACACACTGAAACAACCAATGGGTCAAAAAAGAAATCACAAGAAAAGTTAGAAAATACTTTGGGATGAAAGCAGATGCCAACACAATGAACTAGTACTTATGGGATGCAGCAAAAACAGTGCTCAGAGGCAGATTAATAGCTGTCAACACTTAATTTAAAAAGAAGAAGCTAGTCCATAACCTAGCTTTACATCTTAAGGAACTAGAAAAAGAAGAGCAGACAAAACCCAAAGCTGGCAGAGGAAGGAAACAAAGCACAGATTAATTAAATAGAGACTAGAACTATTACAGAGAGAATCAATGAAACCAAAAGTTGGTTCTTTGAAAAGAGCAACAGAGTGGACGACCTTTAGCTAGACTAAGACAAAAAGAGAGAAGACTCAAATTAAATAAAAATGGGGACATCACTACTGACCTTGTATAAGTGAAAAAGGTTATGTGAGAGTACTAACTGGACACCACAGTTAGATGTAATGCACAAATCCTTATAAACACACAAACTACCCAAACTAACACCCTTACTGGAGTTCTTTATCTCTAGCTATGGCTCCAAATTACTGATTAGTGCCCTTTTATTTCAGCCCGAATTATCATTTCTTATACGGCAGGTCTATCCACTAGCAATGAACTCTGTTTTTTTTTTTAAGATTTATTTATTTATTTATTTATTTATTTATTTATTTGGCACACAGAGAGAGAAAGTGAGAGCAGGAACACAAGCAAGGGGAATGGAGAGGGAGAAGCAGGCTTCCCGCCGAGCAGGGAGCCCGATGCGGGGCTCGATCCCAGGACCCCGGGATCACGACCTGAGCCGAAGGCAGATGCTTAACGACTGAGCCACCCAGGCGCCCCAGCAATGAACTCTTTTAACTTTCATTTACCTTGAAGTGTCTTAATCTTCCCTTCCTACATTTGTTGGGCATGGACTTCTTAGTTGGCAGTCTTTCCCAGCACTTTAAACACTCCATCCCGGGGTCCCTGGGTGGCTCAGTCGTTAAACGTCTGCCTTCGGCTCAGGTCATGATCCCAGGGTCTTGGGATTGAGCCCTGCATCGGGCTCCCTGCTCCACAGGAAGCCTGCTTCTCCCTCTCCCACTCCCCCTGCTTGTGTTCCTGCTCTCACTCTCTCTCTCTGTCAAATAAATAAATAAAATCTTTAAAAAAATTAAAAAAATAAACACTCCATCCCACTGCCTCCTGCCCTCACATTTCTGATGAGGAATTGGCGTTAATCTTCCCTCTTGCTGCTTTTAAGATTCTCTCTTTGTCTTTGGATAGTTTGGTTATCATGTAGCTTAATGTGGATGTCTCTGGATTATTCTACTTGGAGTTCATTGAACTTCTTGGCTGTATAGAATCATATTTTTTTTTTTGAAGTTTTTGGCCATTATTTCTTCAAATATTTTTTCTGCCCCTTTCTCTCTCCCCTCTTTTGGAGATTCCTGTCAAGTGCATTTTGGTGTCTTGATGGTGTCCCACAGGTCTTGTTATCTCTGTTCATTTATCCTTATTCCTTTTTCTCATCTGCTCCTCAGACTGGAGTATTTCAACTGTCCTGTCTTCATATTTACTAATTCTTTCTTCTGCCTGCTCACATGTGCTATTGAGCTCCTCTAGTGAGGTTATCATTTCAATTATTGCAATTGGTTCAATAACCCTAGAATTTTTATTTGGTTCCTTTTTTATACTTCTGTCTCTTTATTGATATTCTCAATTTGGTGAATATTATGCTCTTGGTTTCTATTAGTTCTTTGTCCATGGTTTTCTTTGACTCTCAGAGGGTATTAAGAGAGTTTATTTAAAGGTTTTGTCTAGAAAGTTTAATCCCTGGGCTTCCTCAGGGGCATTTCCTGCTAATTGCTTTTTTCCGTGTGAATGAGCCATCCTTTCTTCCTTCTTTGCATACTTCATAGTTTTTGTTGAAAATTGGACATTTTGAATATTATAATGTGATAATTCTGAATATCAGATTCTCTCCCTCCTTATAGTTTGTTGCTGCTGATTGTTGTGACCTATCATTGTGTTTCTGTTTAGTGTCCTTTTATTTCAGCCTGAATTATTATTTATTGTAGGGCAGGTCTAACCACTAGCAATGACCTCTTTTAACTTTCATTTACCTAAATTATTTTGTAATGACTGCACTCTTTGTCAGGTGTGGTCACTGTTCTATTAGCTAGTGGTCAGATAGTGATTTGACAGAGAGTTCCTTAAACACCTGGAGCCAAACAATATTTTTTCCCCAGTCTTTGTGGATGGGCTCTGCTTGTGTGTTGGGACCATGCCCACAACCTTGGGCCAGGCAGTTCACAGCTCTGCCTTTGCTTTCACTTCCTGCCGGTCAGAGCTGGACATGTAGCCAGTGGTGAGTGGTCAGGGCCTTCTCAGTTCCTTTCTGAGCATGAGCCCCTTGTGGGCATGTGTGGGGTCTTCTGGACTGCCAGCCACCTGTGGAAGCCCTAAAGCCTTATTCCTCCAAGCATTTCATTCCCCAGCTTTCTGTCGTCAGCATTTTGGTGTATCTTCTGTTTGCCATACCCTTTTCCCAGGCAACAATGGGCTCATTTGACAAACACTCTCTGTGTAGCTGCTCTCTGCCTTGAAAGAGTTACAAGTTATGAGAAATAAAGCCAAGCCCTTGGTGTGGGCCCCTCCAGGGCCACTGCAGATACAACCACACCTCTCAGAGAATGCGGCCCACTCTCTCCCTCCAGAACCAGGGCCCTCACTGGGACCCAGTCCACCAAGGTGCAGTGGCTTTTGTGTTAATGAAGATTTCCCTTGGTCGTTGTAAACCTTTGGCCATTTTCCACAGTTCAGATGAAATTGATTCCGGCAGCTTTGCCAGTGTCTTCAGTGTTTCTGTGAGGGTGAGGAGGTGGGCCCTTAGAGTTCCCCATTCCTGATGTTCTCCAACATCACTCTTAGTAGGCACAATTTTGAAAAGTCCTTTTGAGGGCATTTGTTGATATCGCTCAGAATTTAAAATCAGCAAACACTCTGACTGGCAAGTCCCACTTCTAGGAATTTAGGCACAGTGAAAACTTACAGTAGTGCACACAGGTAAGCAGGGAGGATGCTCATGATGGTGTTGTTTGTAACAATCAAAACTAGAGAGACTTTAGTGCCTGTTCCCCTGTTTTTGCACAAATCAAAAATGGTGTATCCACCCTTTGGGATGCTATGTGTCTAGGTAAAAGAGGCAATGATAAGGTATTATTCCTTATCAAGTTGGCAAAGATAGAAAAATATAAGCCCCCATGCTGTGAATCTATGCTGTTATTAAGAGGACCCAGACCCTGATGATAAGTGATGTGTGTCTGTTGGCCATTTGTATGTCTTCTTTGGAGAAATGTCTGTTCATGTCTTCTGCCTATTTCTTGACTGGATTATTACACAACTGATGAGTCATTGGACACTACATCTGAAACTAATAATGAGCTAATTGAATTTAAATAATAAAAAAAAGAGGACCCAGACCATCTTGTGGGCAATGTGATTTCTACACCTCCACCATCTGACCCATTGCTCTGCAGTTCCAGGTGTTCATTCTCAGATTTGCTCATGTGTGTGGGAAGCTGCATCTGGCTATATCTGGACATGTGTGTTCACATTTCCTCCCACCTTCTGGTCTGGACATGTTCTCACACTGTTCTGGCCCTTCTCCACTATTGCTGTCCCCAGTCTTCCTTTCCCAGCTGCTCTCTGCCAACCCAGCCTAGCAGACAGGAGCTCCAGAGGCTGTGTCCTGTTCTTCGCCCTCTGCATCCCAGCAGATAGCCCAGTGCTGGAACACAGGGCATTCTGGTGTCTGTGAATGTAGGCATGAGTCTAGGATGCCCACCTGTCCCAAGAAGACCGTCCGGGCACTGGACAAGCCAACTGCCAGGCTCCCCTGTCCCCAGCAAGACTGTGGCCTGTGCTGACCTCTGGGCCAACCCACACCTGTGCATGGGGAGGAGCTGCTTCTACTCATTGTGGGTTGGAGTCTTTGTTCTCAGCCCATAGGATTTTCCTGGAGCAAAGCTTCAGACCTGTGATGGTGGCCAGACAGCAGAGTGATGACCTGAGGTAGACATGGCTGGCAGGCGGAGCTCCCCGTTCCCCAAAGGTGGCAGTATAAGCCCCAGAGAGGAGTGGCAGAGACCCTTGGGTGCTGGCTAGTGGTCACATTTCTCCCCTGAGCCCCCTGTTCCCAGACCAGCTGTGTTTCCCACAGGAAACAGAGGGGAAGGGTGAGAGACACTTAATAACCCCACGTATTTGGTGGGGTTATTCTGTGGACAGGGAGTTGCGGAGGGACAGAGCCTCTGACTGACCCTGGGGCAGTGTGGGGCTGAGGGAGTTGCCGGTTGCATGTCAGACCCAGCAGGGTCCATGATCTCCACCTTTCAGTGCATCCTGGGGGTGCTTTGGGGCCATTTTCTGTGGGGGATGCAGATGTGGCTGGGTCATCCCTGGAAGGAGTTTCATGATGACCGATTCACTGGCTGTGAAAGGGAAGGGCTGGGCTTGGTGGCCTCTTCCTGAGTTCAGGGTGGGCTTGGGGAGGTCCTGGCTCAGCATGAAGCAGGGGTACTTTCGGTGATGGTCTAAGTGAGCCGGGCAGGACCCCGAGGGGAAGCTCATGCGCATGTAGCCTACTGGGCTGCAGGGGGAGGGCTGGGAGCAGAAGAGCTGGCACAACAGAGCCATGCGGGGGTCCGGACAGGGGTCTGGTCCCTCCCAGAGCCCGGGGGAGGGCAGCAGGTGGACCAGGGACAGGCTGGCTGTCAGCCTGTCGAGCAGCCCGTGTGGCAGGTGGTGGCCTGGGGCTGGGTGGGGTCAGGGTGGAGGACGGGGCTGGTCAGAAGCCCCTTTCCTGGGCGGCTTTAATGGTGTCCTGGCAACAAGCCACATGGGTGTCTCGCTACTGTGTTTTCCCAACACTTCATCCCTCAGTTTCCTCCTCATAAAGAGGGGATGAGGAGCTCGGACCTCAGAGAGCAGCTGAGAGATTAAGCCCCCGTCCCCTGGATGCTTGTACTTGTGCAGGCCCACGAGAATGGCTAGGGCTGGGTGAGGCCGGTGGTGTTTATCGTGAATAAATCACACGAATAGTATATGGCTCAGGGCGTTCAGCATCATGAACGCTGTGGAAGTGAGACTCTAGAGGGAGGTGACAACAGAGCGCAGAGGGCCCGAGCATGAAACACACTGCAGGCGCCATCACCAAAGCGGGGCGTGGGAGTTTATCAACACCCCCGAAGGGGTCTACATGGCTGGATGGGCAGAGCACAGGGCCCTGGGTGGTGTGGACCGAAACCAGAAGGGTCTTCACCAGTGGCATGGCCTAAGAGACTGGGGAAAGGCCTGGAGAATTACAGGTCACTTGTGCAAACCACTCAGGACGAGTGTTCCTAGGGTGGGGGTGGGGGCCTGGGCAGGACAGTACCGGCCATGCTGGCGGGTGATCTTGCTGGACGTCCCCCCCTTGTCCACAAGTGTCCTCACACCATGCCACTGGCATCCTGGCACCGGACCAGGCCACTGTCCACAGCAATGGAGGCCGGACGGGGTTCTCAGTTCACAGGGAAGGCCCCACACCAGGACTCCGAGTCCCTCATGCTCCCAGGCGGAGTCCAGACCTACCAGATGATGGCCCTGAGTCCAGCCCAGGACGAGATCCTGGGGTCCTGCCACCCACCCTTCATATTTGGTTTCAAACCTAGTTGTGTTCTTCAGGAGCTTGGAGCAGTGCCTCCCCCACTGCAGCAGGCAGGGGTGCAGCAGACGGGTTTGCAGCAGACAGGGGTGCAGCAGACGGGCTTGCAGCAGACAGGGGTGCAGCAGACGGGCTTGCAGCAGACAGGGGTGCAGCAGACGGGTTTGCAGCAGACAGGGGTGCAGCAGACGGGCTTGCAGCAGACAGGGGTGCAGCAGACGGGCTTGCAGCAGACAGGGGTGCAGCAGACGGGTTTGCAGCAGACGGGTGCAGCAGACGGGTTTGCAGCGGACAGGGGTGCAGCAGACGGGCTTGCAGCGGACAGGGGTGCAGCAGACGGGTTTGCAGCGGACAGGGGTGCAGCAGACGGGTTTGCAGCGGACAGGGGTGCAGCAGACGGGCTTGCAGCGGACAGGGGTGCAGCAGACGGGTTTGCAGCGGACAGGGGTGCAGCAGACGGGTTTGCAGCAGACAGGGGTGCAGCAGACAGGCTTGCAGCGAACAGGGGTGCAGCAGACGGGTTTGCAGCGGACAGGGGTGCAGCAGACGGGTTTGCAGCAGACAGGGGTGCAGCAGACGGGTTTGCAGCAGACAGGGGTGCAGCCGACGGGCTTGCAGCAGACAGGGGTGCAGCAAACAGGGGTGAAGCAGAGGGGCTTGTAGCAGACAGGGGTGTGGCAGATGGATGCGCTGCAGGCTTCCTGGCAGGGGGAGGAGCTGTAGCAGGAGGGCTGGCAGCTAGGCTGTTGGCAGCATGAGGTGGCTGAGCAGGGGGAGGCCTGGCAGCAGACAGGGGTGCAGCAGACGGGCTTGCAGCAGACGGACGTGCCGCAGGCCTCCTGGCAGGGGGAGGAGCTGCAGCAGGAGGGCTGGCAGCTAGGCTGTTGGCAGCATGAGGTGGCCGAGCAGGGGGAGGCCTGGCAGCAGACAGGGGTGCAGCAGACGGGCTTGCAGCAGACGGACGTGCCGCAGGCCTCCTGGCAGGGGGAGGAGCTGCAGCAGGAGGGCTGGCAGCTAGGCTGTTGGCAGCATGAGGTGGCCGAGCAGGGGGAGGCCTGGCAGCAGACAGGGGTGCAGCAGACGGACGCGCCACAGGCCTCCTGGCAGGGGGAGGAGCTGCAGCAGGAGGGCCGGCAGGAGCTGGTGCAGGCTGATTGGCAGGGGCTGGACCCGCAGCTCACGGGGGTGCAGATGAGGGTCAGGCAGGAGGCCGGGGTGCAGCCGCTGGACTGGGAACAGCTGGGGGCGCAGCAGGGGGGGGCGCAGCAGCTCTCTGGGCAGTCGTCCACCTGCCAGGAGGATCTGGTGCAAGCGGTAGGTGAGCAGACGCGGCTGCCACAGCTCAGGTCGCTGGAGCAGACGGACAGGGTGGACTCGGCCATGACCTAAGTCCGGGAGCAGCAGGTGTCAGCCATGCTGGGGTTTTATGCTGGGAGGTGAGCTGGACGGGGATGTGTGTGACAGGTGCGTGAGTGAGGTGCTCTGGGCATCCGGGCTTTTATATCTGCCCTTGGGGTACTGAGCCTCACCTGAGTCTTGACCAGCCTTCCTTTTCCTTGTTATTGCTCAGAGTGTGTTTCCCGACAACCCTTATTAGTTTATTTGCTGTAAGATGTTTGTAACAAGACTCTGATGGGTCTGGTGATGCCTGGTTGCTTGTGTCCGGAAAGCAAACACCAGGATGCAGAGCTCCTGTTGGTTGATTGGCTCATGGTCGGATGTGTCTAAAACCTGGGCTCCTCTTTCCATTTTTGCTTGTGTGTCTTTGGTGTGAATTCTGGTCTGCTCTACACATGGCCCAGACACTCCTCACTGAACAAGGGTGTGTTGGCTCGGGGGACTGCCCCCTCCCCTGCTGCACCTGCAGACCCTGGAGGGGGACTCCCACAGTCCATCCCAGACACTGTTGTTATTCCCCTCTTTATCTCGCAATTACCAAATGGTGTGTGTATTCTGTTCTTTCCTGAGTTTTCAGTTTTATTATTTCTTTTTTTTAATTTTTAATTTTTTAAAGTTTTTATTTTAATCACCCAGTGCTCATCACGACAAGTGCCCTCTCTAATCCCCATCACCTATTTCTCCCATCCCCCCACACACTTTCCCTCTGGTGACCCTCAGTGTGTTCTCTGGAGTTAAGAGTCTGTTTCTCGGTTTGTCTTTTCTTTTTCCACCTTTGCTCATTTGTTTTGTTTCTTAAATTCCACATATGAGGGAGATTATATGATATTTGTCTTTCTCTGACTTATTTCACTTAGCATAATACCCTTTAGCTCCATCCATGTCATTGCAAATGGCAAGATTTCATTCTTTTTTATAGCTGAGAATGTTCCATTGTATATATACACCGCATCTTCTTTATCCGTTCATCAGTCCATGGACATTTGGGATGTTTCCATAGTTTAGTTACTGTAGATAATGCTGTTATAAACATCAGGATGCATGTATCCCTTGAATTAGTATTTTTGTATTCTTTGGGTAAATACTCGGTAGTACAATTGCTGGGTTGTAGGGTAGCTCTATTTTTAACTTCTTGAGGAAACTCCATACAATTTTCCAGAGTGGCTGCATCAGTTTGCATTCCCACCAACAGTGCACAAGGGTTCCCATTTCTCTGCAACCTCGCCAACACCTGTTTTTTTATTCTTGTGTGTGTGTTTTTTTTTTCAGTCATTCTGAGAGATGTGAAGTGGTATCTCATTGTGGTTTTGATTTATATTTCCCTGATGCTGAGTGATGTTGAGCATCTTCACATGTGTCTGTTGGCCATCTGGATCTCTTCTTTGGAGAAACGTCTGTTCTTGTCTTCTGCCCATTTTTCAGTTGAATTATTTGTTTTTTGGGTGTTGAGTTTTACAAGTTCTTCATATATTTTGGATACTAACCCTTTATCAGATATGTCATTTGCAAATATCTTCTCCCATTCTGTAGGTTGCCTTTTAGTTTTGTTGGTTGTTTCCATTACTGTGCAGAAGCTTTTTATTTTGATGAAGTCCCAATAGTTTATATTTGCTTTTCCTTGCTGCATAAACATATCTAGAAACATGTTGGTTTGGCAGATGTCAGAGAAATTACTGCCTATGTTCTCTAGAATTTTGATGGTTTCCTGTCTCACATTTAGTTCTTTCATCCATTTTGAATTTATTTTTGTGTAAGGTGTAAGGAAATGGTCCAGTTTCATTCTTCTGCATGTGGCTGTCCAATTTTCCCAACACCATTTGTTGAAGAGACTGTCTTTTTTCTCTTGGATATTCTTTCCTGCTTTGCCAAAGTTTAGTTGACCATATAGGTGAGGTTCCATTTCTGGGCTCTCTCTTCTGTTCCATTGACCTATGTGTCTGTTTTTGTGCCAGTACCATACTGTCTTGATGACGACAGCTTTGTAATAGAGCTTGAAGTCTGGAATTGTGATGCCACCAGCTTTGCTTTTCTTTTTCAAGATTGCTTTGTCTATTCAAGGTCTTTTGTGGTTCCATACAAATGTTAGGATTGTTTGTTCTAGCTCTGTGAAAAAAGCTGGTGGTACTTTGATAGGCATTGCTTTGAATGTGTAGATTGCTTTGGGGAGTACAGACATTTTAATGACATTTGTTTTTCCAGTCCATGACCATGGAATGTTTTTCCATTTCTTTGTGTCATCTTTAATTTCTTTCCTCAGCATTTTATAGTTTTCAGAATACAGGTCTTTCAACTCTTTGGCTAGGTTTATTCCCAAGTATCTTATTATTTTTTTTCCTTTCTTTTTCTTTCTTTCTTTCTTTCTTTCTTTCTTTCTTTCTTTCTTTCTTTCTTTCTTTCTTTCTTTCTTTCTTTCTTTCTTTTTCTTTCTTTCTTTCTTCCTTCCTTCCTTCCTTCCTTCCTTCCTTCCTTCCTTTCTTTCTTTCTCTTTCTTTCTTTCCTTCTTTCTTTCTTTCTTTCTTTCTTTCTTTCTTTCTTTCTTTCTTTCTTTCTTTCTTTCTTTCTTTCTTTCTTTCTTTCTTTCTTTCTTTCTTTCTTTCTTTCTTTCTTTCTTTCTTTCTTTCTTTCTTTCTTTCTTCTTTCTTTCTTTTGATGTAGTGTTCCATGATTCATTGTTTGTGTATAACACTCAGTGCTCCAGGCAATACATGCCCTCCTTAATACCCATCACCGGGCTAACCCATCCCCCCACCACCCTCCCCACTAAAACCCTCAGTTTGTTTCTCAGAGTCCATAGTCTCTCATGGTTCATCTCCCCCTCTGATTCTCCCCCCCTTCATTTTTCCCTTCCTTTTCCTAATGTCCTCCATGCTATTCCTTATGTTCCACAAATAAGTGAAACCATATGATAATTGTTTTTCTCTGCTTGACTTATTTCACTTAGCATTATCTCCTCCAGTCCCATCCATGTTGATGTAAAAGATGGGTATTCATCTTTTCTGATGGCTGAGTAATATTCCATTGTATATATGAACCACATCTTCTTTATCCATTCGTCTGTTGAAAGGCATCTCAGCTCTTTCCACAGTTTGGTTATTGTGGACATTACTGCTATGAACATTGGGGTGCATATGGCCCTTCTTTTCACTACATTTGTGTCTTTGGTGTAAATACCCAGGAGTGCAATTGCTGGGTCATAGGTTAACTCTATTTTTAATTTTTTGAGGAACCTCCACACTGTTTTCCAAAGTGGCTGTACCAACTTGCATTCCTGCCAACAGTGTAAGAGGGTTCCCCTTTCTCCACAACCTCTCCAACATTTGTTGTTTCTTGCCTTGTCAATTTTTGCCATTCTAACTGGTGTAAGGTGGTTTCTCAATGTGGTCTTGATTTGAATTTCCCTGATGGCTAATGATGATGAAAATTTTTTCATGTGTCTCTTAGCCATTTGTATGTCTTCTTTTGAGAAGTGTCTGTTCATGTCTTTTGCCCATTTATTGACTTGATTATTTGTTTTTTGGGTGTTGAGTTTGAGAAGTTCTTTATAGATCTTGGATACCAGCCCTTTATCTGTAGTGTGATTTGCAAAAATTTTCTCCCATTCCGTGGGTTGCCTCTTTGTTTTATTGACTTTTTATCATACTGGCACAAAAACAGACACATGGACCAATGGAACAGAATAGAGAGCCCAGATTTGGACCCTCAACTCTATGGTCAAATAATCTTTCACAATGCAGGAAAAAATATGCAATGGAAAAAAGACAATCTCTTCAATAAATAGTGCTGAAAATTGGACAGCTATATACAGAAGAATGAAATTTGACCATTCTCTTACACCATACACAAAATGGATATACACAAAATGGATGAAAGACCTCAATGTGAGACAGGAATCCATCAAAATCCTAGAGGAGAACATAGGCAGTAACCTCTTCGACATTGGCTGCAGCAACTTCTTTCAAGACATGTCCCCAAAGGCAAGGGAAACAAAAATGAAAATGAACTTTTGGGACTTAAGATAAAAATCTTCTGCACAGCAAAAGAGACAGTCTTATTTTTTTTTTTAAGATTTATTTATTTATTTGAGAAAGAGAGTGAGAGAGAGAGCTCATGAGCAGTGGGGAAGGATAGAAGAGACAGAGAGGGAATCTTAAGCAGACTCCCTGCTGAGTGGGGATGCTGACTCACGGCTTGATCTCACCACCCTGAGATCATGATCTGAGCCAAAATCAAGAGTTGGATGCTTAACTGACAGAGCCACCCAGGTACCCCAGTATCTTATTATTTTTGATGCAGTTGTAAGTGTGATTGATTCCTTAATTTCTCTTTCTACTGTTTCATTACTGATGTGTAGAAATACAACAGATTTCTGTACATTGATTTTGTATCCTGCCACTTTACCAAATTCGTGAATCAGTTTTAGCAGTTTTTTGGTGGCATCTTTTGGGTTTTCTATATAGAGTATCTGTTGTCTACAAATAGTGAAAGTTTGACTTCTTTCTTGCTGATTTGGATGCTTTTTATTTCTTTTTGTTGCCTGATTACTGAGGCTAGGACTTTAGCACTATATTGAATAACAGTGTTGAGAGTGGACATCCCTGTTGTATTTTCCCCTGTTGAAGATGATGTTCACTGTGGATTTTCTTATATGGCCTTTATTATGTTGAGGTATGTTCCCTCTATCCCTACTTTATTGAGGATTTTATCATGAATGGATGTTGTACTTTGTCAAATGCTTTTTCCGTGTCTTTTGAAATGATCACATGGTTCTTATCCTTTCTCTTATTGATGTGCTGTATCATGTTGATTGATTTGCAAATATTGAACCATCCTTTATATTGAATAAATCCCACTCGATCGTGATGAGTGATTTTTAAAAAATTTTTTATTATGTTATGTTAGTCACCATACAGGACATCATTAGTTTTTGATGTAGTGTTCCATGATTCATAGTTTGCATATAACACCCAGTGCTCCATGCAATTCA